CCTTCTCAAACTTCTCCTCTTCATGCGCCGCAAACTTCTCCTCTTCATGCGCCGCAAACTTCTCCTCTTCATGCGCCGCAATCCTGGCATCAGCTTCGATGAATTCGGCTGGGCGATGTAGCTGTATAGCGAGCTTATTACGATGGATCAAGATACCGGGTTGCGTTTCAAAGAAGCGATCGATATCTTCAAGCGTCCGGTTCGCCGTCTCTGGGTAGAGGAAGTACGTGATCGGGATGAAGGAGAAGCAGATAACTGCCCAGATGATCCAGAACTTGTAGCCTAGGTTCTGGATACCGGGAAGGGTTGCTTGCACAACACCATAGTTGCAGATCCAGTTGGTCGCCATCGCGAGGGAAGCGCCTTTGGTTCTCATCTCAAGCGCGTTGATCTCGGTCGGGTACAGCCAAGGCACACCCAACACGCCCATGCCAAAGCTGGCGAAGAATACGAAGAAGAACGCAACAGCGACGATACCCAGCTTGTACGAATCGCCACCTTTCTCGGTCTGACCCTGCGATGCTGCGATGACGATCCAACAAATCGAGCATGCTGCAGCCGAGACCATCATGACCTTGCGACGCCCGTATCGCTCAATGACGAAGTATGCCAAGCAAGCAAAGATGAGATAGTCGACAGACCCGGCAGCGGCGAGGATACGCGATAGTAGCTCGGATATTCCCAAGGCGTTGATAAAGATATAAGACATGTAGTAACTCGTAACGTTGATCCCGGAGATCTGGTTCATGGCCTGCATCCATGCGCCCAGGAGCATGCGTCGCAGTACACCGCTTGGTCCTTTACCGGTAAGAAGCTGCGTCCATGTGTATGTGTTCATTTGCTCGCGGTCGAGAATGTCCTTGATGATGTTGTACTGCGTGATAACCGAGGGTGATTCTGGGGTCGCTCCATGGCCTTCGAGCGCAGCAAGAACTTCTAAAGCTTCGTCGATCTTGCCTTTGCGGATCAGCAACCGAGGCGAGTCTGGTAGGAACGGGCACATGGCGTAGATGCACAGGGTGAAGAAGAGTTGGAATGCGAGCGGAAAACGCCATGCGATATCGCGCGGTGCGAACGAAAAGCCGAGAGTAAGCCAGTTCGAGATGCTGAAGCCGGTGATGCAGTTCGCTGTTGACGAATTAGCCAAGATGTCACGATGTATGTTGTAAATGCCGTACCCATTTGGATGATAACGAGCTTTCCCCGACTATTCATCTTACTGGTCTCAGCCTGCCAGACTCCAGCCGTTGCCGTGTTCATGCCAGTACCAAGCCCCGCCACGATGCGCCCAACCATCATGCTCGCTACAGTCCAACTACATGTCTGGATGATTGCGCCGATACCGATGATCGTCGAACCGAGAAGAATCTGCCTTGGGCGTCCGAGAATGTCGCCAGTCCATATGGTACTCATCGCTCCGATGAAGCAGCCGATGTTGTAGATGGACGTCATCACACCTTGCATGTTGGCAGACGGGTAGCCAAAGGTGTGGAGGAAGTTCTCTGAGATGATGACATTGCCGAAAACACCTTGATCGTAACCGTAGAAGCTAATGAGTGTCAGATAACCGCGTTGCAAGATGTCTTGATCGTAGCTTACACGAGTACCGTACTGGCAGCGATGGAAATCCACACTGTCAGCCGCTCCCCAGAGCCTCCAAGATATTTGCGTGCCATGGTCGCGTACTCCCTGTTCAGCTACCGATGTCACGAAGTCCGTGATGGTGGATGCAGAGTAGGAGATGTCGTGGAAGAAGGAAGTACCCCAAATCAAGAGATGTCAATAGCCGGTCCAATGCGCTGGGCCTGTACCAAACTTTGTCATCTGCAACGGGGTCGCAGCGACGATCAACTCTTTATACCGGGCATGAGCCCTGGCTCGGGATTTTCTCCGCTTATCATTATCCTCGTCATGCGAAGCTTGTCAAGCCTCACAAGCCTCTGGTCGTCTCCAGATCCACTGAACTTCCCCAGACTCTGATCACATACCCGATACCCCATAGGCCAAGGCCCACTCGGTCCACACTGGAGCTCTTTTACTGGCGATAGCGGCGTTTTAGCCGAGTAAGGAGGCAATGAGTGATCAAAGCGCAAGGGTAGACAGGCGAATGCAGCGATGTTGAGGTTGCGCGTATGGAAACGATGCATCGCGGAATACTATTTCAGGGAAGGCGGAAAGATGCGTCGGCTGATGAACACGGAAGGTGAAGCGAGCGCGGGGTAGCGAGGAAGGTGCGCCGAGTGTGGGGAAAATGGATGCTGAGGTCCAACGCCACAACACGAAAGCCACAAAAACCTTAACATTCTTGTACGAGCCTCTGAAACAAAGCTGGCAATACAGCCGGTATATCATGCCCAAGTTCTTCCCGGGCATTCAACCACGCGAGTGCCGAATGAGGGAGGTAGCCTCGGGAACTCCCCGCAGTACTCCTCTCCTCCAATCTATCCAACGGAAGAAATAGACTAAACTTGAAGTCGCGCATCATAGTCCCCTGATCTGCGCATCATATCAAACATGTCGAGCGCAAGGTCTTCCACTTCGAGGAGTACTTCCGGCATACGAGAGGTATACGCACGAACTCATTCCTTCCACCGGTAAAAGGTCGCTCGCGGCTTCTTCGTGTTGATGCTGAACTCAAAATGCGGAAGTATAAAGAGACGGGATATTCGTATGGATGGATGGGAAGCACATCGACCAGGAAATACGCACCATGATCTTAACCAACTCTGTTCTTCTGACCCTCGCTGGAGCGACCCATGTCGCGTCGCAGTCGTTTCAACTGACGCCTGTCATGGGTTGGAACTCATACAATCAGATGTCATGTAGCCCCAACACCCAGAAGATAACCACGACCATCAACTCGCTCGCGAGTCGCGGATTTGTCGACGCTGGCTACAAGTTCTTCCAGATCGATTGCGGATGGGCTTCAAGAGATGGACAACGGAACGCTACTAGCGGCGCACTGAAGGTGGACCTAAAAGCATTCCCAGGTGGTCTGAAGCCTTTAAGCGACCTTGCAAGGTCAAAGGGCATGAAATGGACAATGTACTCGGATGCTGGTGTGAGAATGTGCGACCCAGAGGCGCCAAGCCCTGTCTTGGGCTCATTAGGTCATGAAGCTGCGGACGCGGATTTCTTCAAGACGCTGAACACTGAATACGTCAAGTGTATGTCCGAAGGAACGTGGTCGCGCACTGTGATCATCAAGCTGACAGCCTTCCAGATGACAACTGCTATGCCGACGGGCCTGCAGCTAGCCAGAATGCTCCCAAGAACGCCAGAACCGATTTCGTCACCCGGTTCGGTGTTATGTGGAAGGAACTGCAACGAGTTGGCATCCCAGGGATGTTGATCTGTCAATGGGGCGTTCCTTTCACAACCTCAACTGGTCTACAGGGACCTGCCCAGTGGACGAAGCCCATCTCGACTTCCTTCCGACTTTCAGACGACATTACTTCGGGTTGGGCCTCCATGTTCCGCATCTACAACCAAGCTGTGCACATCGCCAAATCAGGTCTAGTCGCCCCGGGGCACATTGCCGATGCTGATCTACTGATGGTCGGCAACTCTGGCATGACATTCGACGAGCAAGCTACGCACTTTGCCGCGTGGGCTATGCTGAAGTCCGCGCTCATGGTCTCAACCGACGTAGCGGCTCTGTCGAACGAACTCGTCGCTGTTCTGCAAAACAAAGACCTGATTGCGATCAACCAGGACTCCGCTGTCAAGCCGGTCACTCTCCGTCAGCGTTGGAGCGGAGACCGCGACCTTTGGGCTGGCGACCTCGCCAATGGAGACATGGCCGTCTTGGTCGTGGACCTCAGCAACACTGCGCGTACGCTGAGCCTGCAGCTCTCCGAACTCGACATCGCATCGGCATCGATCAAGGACCTCTGGACGGGTAAGACTGTTAGCGAAGCTTCCCTCTCCAAGCAAGTCAAAGCGCACGGATCTCTCGCCATCCGCCTCTCCAACATCCGCCGCTCGACAGCGGCCAAACCCACATACAAGTATGTCTCCGCATCAACCGGCTCCCTTTCCTCGGGCGCATCTACCCAGTCCTGCTCCGGCTGCACCTCTTCAAACAAAGTCGGCAACCTGGGCGGTTCGTCGAACGGTCGCGTAACCCTCTCCAACATTCGCACCTCCAAAGCGACACAAACAGTGTACTTTGACTACATCAACGGTCAGGTCGACTACATGGGCGGCAGCAACGAGCGCGTCGCATCGATCAGCGTGAACGGGGGTGCAGCAAAGACCGTCAGCTTCCCTCTGAGCGGATACAACTGGGACAAAGATGTATACAAGAACTATGGCGTCGAGTTGTCGGGCTTTAGCACCACAGGTACCAACACCATCACGATCTCTGGTGTTGGAAGTGCGTACGCGCCGGATATCGACAGGATTGGTGTGATCGCGTAGTGCACGGCCGGCCTCAATTCGGCGCATTACTGCCTTTCCAGCCACGCTTTATTAGCCGGCTCAGCCACCTTTCTAGCGGTCTGAGCATCTCCTTTGCGACGTACTACGGATGTTTATGAAGCACAATGAATGAACAACACTATATTTTCGGTCCGACGCCAAACCTCCGGCTGGGTATCATGTGAATACGCACACAATTTCTCTTCTGTGAGCGTTCTGTCAGCCAAGTCCAGCGCATCATCGCGATAAATTTCTCCGTGTCGTCGCATGTGCCAAATCTTACGATGATTGATGCGATATCTGCGTATTCGGTGTTTCTCGCATTTAGGCTTGCCTCGTAAAATGACTGACCGCGTTTCCAACGCAGCGCAGCATAGCACAGTGCACCTGACGTATGCGCCTCTCTTAGCAATACAGCGCATGAGCGAATATTAGATATCTCGGCCCTACAATACGCAGGTACAATGATGAACACATAAAGATCTTCACATCCTCTGTTTTCTGCTTCACCACCCCAGATCCACTGTCGCGCATCACCACTTCAAACCTCATTCTCCAACCTCAACAAGCACCCCAAGATGCAGCTCCAATACCTCCTCCCTGCCGCGTTCTTCGCCGCCTCGACTCTAGCCGCAAAGTTCAACGGCTTCTCCGACATCGCCTGCCAACAATACGACGGCACCTACATCCCCATGACCGCAACCCAACTCCAAGACATCGTCGTCAAGAACTGGGCAACCACGCAAGAAATCCCCGAAGCATCGCGCTCCTTCACTGCGCCTGATGACAGGAAGCTCTGCCCTTCGAACTCGGATGATACGTACAAATGGGTGAGTACTATGATCATATAGTTTGGTATGGTGAAGCGTTGCTGATTGGTCTTCTTTTGTGATGTAGGTGTCGATCCCGCAGTGGGGGCAGGGAAGCAAGTGGCCCGCTGGTAATGGTGGTGCGCTGGCGGTGGTTTACTACAAGGAGACTGATACGTACAATGTGTGCCGTTATCTTGCTGCTGCTCAAGCGGATGGGTATAAGGGTGCATGCAAATAGGTTGTTAATGGAATAAATGCAGTGTTGGCAGGAAGAGTAGCATTAGCTATAGAATGTACTCTAGAATCGATGGTCCAGACGCGAATGAACTTGTTCCCTGGCTCTTATCACTACCTTTCTTTGTCGCGTGCGATACTACTCTGGCTGAAGGATGTGAGAGTCGGAGAGGCATACGAGAAAGGTGTATGATGGGTTGTACAGCTAGCTCTAGTAGACTAGACAACGGTGTGACTACGTCATGGGTATGTTGCGGATGACTTTGGATGGAGTTACAACAGGCGAGAACTTTGTTCCTCATCTCGAGTGTGGTCAATCAAACACGACTCGCTGTGGCTACTAAGCTTTCGCAGTAGTAGGCAATATCCATTGGTCTATATGACGAAGGGTATGTAATTCTGGCCAGTTAATCCAGATGGAGAGTACTGGAAGGTTTCCGACCCATCTGAGGACACCCACTTCCATGGGTGAGTTCCACATAGTAGCTGCTGAAGCTCGTACGCTGCGAAGAAGGCTGGGACTCCTCCGGCCGGCAATGCTGTGCACTGGTATCCGAAGAAGCCATACCACTCGTCGTAAAACTGTTGTGGCGACCAGGCCTTCCTAACCGAGATCTCTTTTGCGGAAGCCCATAATACACCGGTATCTCCATCAAAATGAATGAAGGATTCATCCAGAGTGATGCGGCGAACCATGGCATGGAAAGAAGGTGGGAGATCACATGGCAGCTGGAAGCGGTCTCTCATAGCGTAGTCGTGTAAAGTTTCGTCGTCATCAGGCTCGTAGCGGACCAGTCCGCGATCGATCTCATGGTGTTGCTTCATGTAGTCGGATTCTGCCAGGGCCTCTTGCAGACTGGCAGCGTGCTTTAGTACTTCCCATAACAAAGTTGACTCGGTCTTCTGGCCTTCGATCACTACCTTGAGGGCATTGGAGTTGACTCCGTTGGCGGAGAAGGATTCAAGTTCGTCCAGAAAATCGGCAAAGGGGCGCAACATATTCTCTTTGGGGATGACAGTTTGGCTCCGTCGATGATACTTCGTTGATTCCAACCATACTGGATGCATCAGGTTGTTCCAGAACCCTACTTGTAGTTCGACACGAAGATGTGGATTTTCCAGTAGGAAAGGCGTGAGCCCCCGCACGTGCGACTCTGGATATGCCACGCCCCTCTTGTCTTCTTTGATTATGATAGTCGTACGGTGAGATATGCGATCGGTTGGTGGTAGTGCTTTCAAGAAGTTGATAGCAAGGGACGTTGCGGAAAAGTACCAGGCGACAGGCACCATTGGTTCAGAGCGCGGGTCGATCTCGCCGATAAGATCGCGACGCGACGGGTCCGCTAGATAGGACTCGAGCGTCAGATCAGACTCTGTAGGTATCAGCCACCAGTTTGGTTTCCATGCAAGGACAATGTTGTGGGACCCAGGCAGGAAGGGCGGCATCATGCCATGGCACATGTAGGGACTGGAAGATGCCCTGGCAGCTGCATCCTCGAATGCAGGATGAGAGGAGGCTAGATCGAGGGTGTATTGTATGGCGTCGCACAAAGTCGCCGACGTCTGCCATCGCCAGGTATGGTCCGAACGCGAAACCGAGTTCTGCGCGTACAAGTCTCGCCCATGCCTGATAGCGCTGTATACGGCGCGATAGTAACGAGATATGCCGGGAAACTGCGCAGCAACCCGATCTACAATGGTCGGGGTGACGCACCCGTCTTGAGCAACGTGATGTAGTATGTGCATCTTCATACGCCGTGACAGCTGTAGCAGGCGTTCGAAGCGGCCGGCTTTGGAGTCAAGATTGTTGAATTCGACGCCGTCTCGGTGCGAGCGTGCAGGAAGGAAAGTTAGAGTGTTAGCTCGCTTGGCCACACCCTTCATCTCCTCGGCTGCTTGCTTGCAACAGCGTGTCAGCGCGTTCTTATCCTGATGTTTGTTCTGGCTCTCATACCGCATCTTGTTTGAGGCATAGTCGTAGAAAAGGCCCTTCTCGTCATGCGCATAGTGTTCGTATATGTTGTCGCGCAGCTCGCGAGGTAGGCGGAAGAGAGGGGATTGCAGTTGGTCTAACATCGTGAAAAGTCTGATCTCGTTATTTCAAAGTAGTAGTGGTACGATGGTAGTAGATTGATGGTGGAAATGGAAGGACGTGATGATGGGAAGTGATGGGAAACAATGGCTTAAGTGCATTGTGGTCATCCATAGATCGGGCGCCAGGCATCAGCGGGTCACGTGCATACCCGAACTTTGGTTAAGGGCAACACCAACCTCAGATTCGCCCGGTACTACCAACGCAGTGTCGTGAAGTGGCAAGTTCTGAGATTCTCAATCAACCTTTAGTCGAAACTGCGACATTGTCTAATACAGCATACCCCCGGGGCCATGAGAGCAGCGATGAACACAACCAACGTACCTAGGTACATCAGTCTTCACGATGACTCGTGTAGGGTGGTAAGGGTTGCATAGCATACACGCTTTTCACTTGGCCAAACGAAGATACCATGCGCTGGTATCACATATGAATCTACCAGGGATGAGCAACCACTTATGATGAGTCGGATGGAGAACGGCGTGTGAGTGTGTACATTCCACGCACGTGCCATCGAGGTGCCGTGTCAGGGTGGGTCCCACCGGGAGTCATGGCCTATCCAGAACGCACACCCATCATCGAACATTCTCGCATTTCTTGTGGTCTCGGAAGCACCAGATGAGGACGTACGGCCTCTTCTTGGCCATGGTCCTTTGTCGATCATTGCCCTTTTGCTATGCGTTGCTCGGTGCTATCCCAAAATGAAGTCTCCTGCGCCAAAGCTTGGCATCGCTGCTGAGACAGCGGTGGAAGCTCCTGACCCGCCCTTATACCTGTGACGGTATAAATCAGATAGACAGACACGGATCTCTGTTGCTGGATTGACTCGCGAAAGTGAATTTGAACGTCCGCTGGAGATCATACCTACCCATTCCTCATCTTCTCCTATTTTCGAAACTTTCTCCATGCTTCTCCGCAATGACAAGTCTTACAACGGCATATCCGACCCGCTCCAGAGTCTACCGGCTACGGCATGTACCAAGCAGTATTCCGGCAACCCCTCTCCGCTCGCTCGTCTACCACGCGAATTACGCGACCAGATCTACGAGTATGCCCTAGGTGCCGACATGATGCGCATATTGAGCTTCGGCGAGACGAAGATCATAATGCTGCCAATATACGCACCGCGTCGCGTGTACTGTGATCAGGAAGACGGTCTTCCGACGTGGATGCTATCTAGCAAGATGATTCTGTCTGAAGCACTCGAAGTCTTCCACCGAACGCAGTGCTTTGAGCACATCGACCTTGCGCCATACGCCCAATGGAAACTTTCGCCCACCCGGAGGAACCCCCTGGTATTCAACCAAAATATACGTCACGTAAAACTCAACGAGCCACTCGAAGTGGTCGGAAATTCCTTTCCATTACCAAGTTCCTGGCATCCCGGATATAACGATACGTTTCTGAAGTGTCTTGCGTTATGGAATCCGCCGGAACTGGACGTACGCTGTGAGGTATTCTCTAATAATCCGGAAGGACCTCGCATGGATCCAAGCCAGGTACCAAAGTGGCACAGTAAGGTCCCTGTGCGGAACCCCGATGTACGTGATCGGTTCAAACAGCTTCGCGGACGGTGCAGAAGCATGTCAGTGGAAATCAAAGTCCCTCACGGTTTTCAGGAGAACGGAAAGCTTTTGGATAACGCACGAGCTTGGGCTGAGCCTAAGCTCGAGCACAAGAGACAATATTTCGCCGACTTATGTCAGTCGATTGAGGCATGGGCGAGGGAATTGGTTGGCGGAAGCACGCGCTTCTTACTGAAGAACGAGAATGACGGAAGGAGCAATTGGAAGAATGGAACTCCTCCGGGAAAGTACTTTAGGGCCATATGCGAGGCGCAAAGACTCGGCTAAACATGTCGCATAGGAGCACTGAACAACATTGGCAATTGGTACTGGCCTTGCAATAGTCATCAACATCAATACAGTAAATTTGAGCTCCTTCTAATAGTCTCAGTCTTTTCCACTTCATACCATTACAGACATACGCGCGTACGGCCGCATCTCTCCTGTAGTGTCTCTTACCAGATATTTCTAGCTTTGGAAGAATTTAAGCCCTGGCTCCGAATTGAACAACCTACATGCACCGCGTAGTTCTCATCGGTGGTCTCCTTGGAAGGACCGTAGAGCTAAGAATGTATAGGTATAATACGAGCAGCCGAGTCCTGTGACCCCCCTCTACCACCATCAGCGTCCACAGAAAGCGCAATAACACCTCCTCTTCCATACATACCCTCACTTCCCCCTCCGCAACCCCCTCAAAGTCCCCGCAAACCTCCTCCTAGTCACATACACAAACCCCATAAACACCACCGCAAACACCACACTCCCCGCCCCCGTCCTCTGATTCATCACCGCCTGCTTCTTCGCCTCCTCATAATACCCCTTCACCTTCTCCGTAACGCCATCCTCCCTCTCCAAATCAGGCATAGCCATAATCTTGACCACCAACGCCGACCAGCCAGTGAAATGCTGCGTACGCTGTCCAGCACCTTTAACAGGATCATATTGCTCCCAGATATATCCTGTTTGAAGATACGAATTGAACACGGTGTGGACGATGTTGCTGCGGAGTTCGATGTAGATTTCGCGGCAGCGTTGTTGCGAGGGGCCGGGGATTTGGGCGAGGTCGAGCAGGTTGGTGAGGAGGAGGTAGTTGATGTTTATCCAGATGGGCGAGCGCCAGTAGTTGTCGTCTTTGCCGTAGGCGTCGTCTTCGGGGCTTAGGCTGCGGACGCCGAAGTCGGTCCAGAGGTGGTTGGGGTCGCGGAGGAGGGTTAGCATTGCGGGGAGATGTGGGTGTGAGGGGTCGGTGAAGCCGGTGAGGAGAGGGAAGATGGAGATGTAGCCTTTGTGGCAGGCGTGGGTGTGTAGGTCGTTGCGGACTACGGCGTCGCAGTAGGTGTTTGGTTCTTTGGACCAGTGTATGGTGTCGATGTTGGTTTTGACGCCGCGGATGTGGTTTTGGTATGTGAGCGCGTCGTGGGCGTTTTCGGTGAAGAACGCGATGCGTTCTAGTGTTCGTGCCATTACGCCGACCCAGCACAGGGCGTCCAAATGCAACTCGGTGATGTCGGGAGGCTCCGCTCGGGGATAATCATCCAATCCGCTTGCAAGGTTCGTGCCTGGTGTCCGGCCACGCCATCGGTAGCCCTCATTCAAGTTGGCCGATGGAATGGAATGGGCCTCGACATCTCCAGATTGCGACTTCCGGAACCAGTCGTAGTGCTTCTTGAGGTACGGGTACATCTTCGTCACTAAAGCTTTCCCAGTCTCTGCTTTGGCGAGATACAGGGAGTCGTGACCATGATATTTTGTCGTCCCTTTCAGCATATCGATGAACTTTGAGATGACCAGAAATATCGTTGGCGGATTCGCGATGTGTGGAAATTGGGTGACGAACTCAGCAGGCGTGGCACCCTCGGCTTCAGCGCCTAGAATCTGCTCTCTTGCTATCCAGCCATCATCATCCATGAGGTTTAAGAGCCAGTCGCGTATCACCTCGAGAGCGAGGTCAGCATCCCACTCGATGACAAGAAGAAGATGAAAACCTTCATCCCACAGGAATCCTCTAGGAAATGCTGCACGAGATGGCGTATGAGTGAGAAGCTCATACGGGCCTTTCGTCTCCGGTGTTGTATGCTTCTTTGCGTCAACTGACTTCTGCCAGAAGTTTGCAGTGGTCTCAGCGTATATGGCCTTCTTCGATGTGTCGACCTTGGCAGTGCCGGTAAAGTACCCTAGTCCACCAAGCAGATTGGAGAAAGTATTCCGAGAGAAGGCGCGGTGCATGACGGTTGTGAAGGGGGTTTTCGGGGTGAACACTGCGTCGAAGTTCTTGGCGAAGGATGCGAGGATTTCCTCTAGACTGGTGGTAAGACCGGCGGCTGGAAGGCATTAGCATATCTGGTTCATGGACGCACTTCTCCATGTAGTATGACGGAGGTGAGTACTCACAGGTCATGGCTCGCTTCGCAGTATCACTCGAGTACAAGATGTCGAACTGCTTGAGGTTAGTCGCAGTTTAACATATGATCGTGGTGCTGACCTCGAACTCCCCATGGCACACCATCTGCACTAACTGTAAATTGCCGTTGCCCGGAGCGTCGCGCAGTACGATATCATTTGGTCCTGGCTCGGTGCGGTCTTTCGTTTGGTCCTTCAGCGACTCCAAGAAGGTAGCTTCTTGCACATGCTCATCAGCTGGTTGTTCATGACACGATGGGGAGGTTCGAAGCACAGGTAGATGGGATTGAAGATATCATGGCATTCATTGTACTTACATTTCCCCTGCCACAGCCTATCTTCCGTGACATTGAGCGTCTTGATATACGCTATCTCACGTTTCTCGTCTGCATTGATGGGCACAGGGATATGAATACCCGCATTACCCAACTTCGGATGCGCAATGTTCATATTCACAGCTTGAACCGTCTTCTCGTCGGCCTCAAACTGTTGACGCGCCTCGAGCTTGCAGTCGGCACAGGCTTCCATGGCCTCCATGCCAATGTAGAAGACCACGGTAGTCTTGAGATCTTTCGGCGCATCAGGCCTAGGCATGCCCTTGACGCGCAACCCCCAATTCCCCTGGCTCTGGCCTTCAGAGTGCTTTATGAACTCGGTGATGAGGTTTATCTTGTTTCCGACGTCTTCTATCATTTGTCGGCCGCCTTCTCGTGTATCGTATGAGATCCAACCGTACTTGGCCATGCCGTCGCTCTGGTTCACGTCATGTCGGAGTGCTATAAGACTAGTTAGCGCTATACGCGTATCCTCACAGTGTCTACTTACTCGTCTCTACATCTTCCAGCTTCCCCCACATGACGCCCGCAATGAGACTTTTGGGCATGCGGGCGCGCAGGCCCAGATACAGATTCGGACGATAAGGGCCCCATAGCAGCGATTCGTTGCTAGTCGGTACCTTGTGGTCGGTGGCGGACGCGTGTGGGAGAAGCGTGAAGAGGAGCGCGAGGAGAGCTGGCGGGAGCATAATGACGTCGAACGGGTGCGACGCGTTTCACGACGCGTTGACCAATTGCTTTCAAGCTCTTCGGGACGACTGCGGTGGCGCGAGGCTTCGGGGCATATCTCTGCTACGTTGACTTAGCTCTTAGCTGACAGCGACAGCAATGCGCCGGCTATATCGGACATATTTGCCCAGGCAGAGCGGCCTTGGTTCCTGCTGCGTTGTGATTGGATGACGCGCTACGCCATGGCCAAAAGAACTCTACTTCCATTTTCAATCAGTCGCACGCGATAAGAATCACAATTCGCTTTACTCATCGTTCGAAAGATCTACAGCTGTATTCGCCTGTGAATGGTTTCGGGTCAGTTACAGCGACTGGTCGTCCGCATGTTACTACGAATGCATTCATTCGGTACCTGTCATGCCACAGAAACTTCATCCTTTCCAGAATGTATTTCGAAGCATACCTGGGTAGTACACATTACACAGAATAACACCTACTCTTGACGCCAAAACATGATACAGGGCTGAAAGGATAACAAGGATGCCAGCTATTCCAACCCGCCAACCTCCCGCGCGACGTCAGCGGTCCACTCACGCCGCCGAGCCCCCACAATCTGCAAATGCGGATGAGCGAACTAAAAGCCAGCCATCCCGCCTTGGATGCTGGCGATCCCGATCGACTCCAGGATAGTAAGATATAAAGACTTTTACGCGATTTCCGACACAGAACAGTTTTTTGGAGCCCTTTCAAGATTACATCAACATGGAAGAACAAGTAGAGCGCCTAGCAAACAAGGTCTGGGGTATGTGATAATTACGAGTTGGAAATCAAGAGACACGTGTTGACGAGACCGCAGACCAATATCAAGATGTCCCTGCATCAAAGCGCTTGCTAATCGCCGTATCCGGTATCCCAGGGTCCGGTACGTACAGTACACGCACGAACCCCAACCCTCCAACCCGCTGACCACGACCAGGCAAAACAACACTAGCAGCCATCGTGTCAACCAAACTCAACGAGAAACATGCACAGCAATCGCCTGGTACCGCCAACAGCAACCCACTCTCAGCCTTCATACCAATGGACGGCTTCCACCTCTCGCGCCAACAACTCGACGCAATGCCCGATCCAGACAGCGCCCACGCGAGAAGAGGCGCGGCATTCACATTCGACGGCGACTCCTTCTACAGCCTAGTAAAGAAGCTACGCGACCCCATATGTCCCGAGAGCTCCACACTCTACGCCCCCAGTTTCGACCACGCGCTCAAAGACCCGGTTGAAAACGACATCGCCATCGCGCCATCCGTTCGCATCGTCATTTTCGAGGGTAACTACTGTTCTTTGAACAAGGCGCCTTGGAACGAAGCTGCGAAGCTCATGGATGAGCTTTGGTTCGTGGATGTGGACTTTGATGTTGCGAGGAAGAGGTTGGTGCATCGCCATGTTAAGGCGGGGATTGCGAGGGACGAGGTGGAGGCGGGGAAGAGGGCGGATGAGAATGATCTTGTTAATGGGAGGGAGATTGTGGATTTGAGACTTGATGTTCATGAGTTGGTCAAGAGTGTGGAGGATGGCGAGTGGGCACCTGAACAGCAGGGGGTGGGGGATGGGGCGGATGAGGGGAGTAAAGGGGGGATGGCGGGGAGGGTATGATGATGTGTTTGCTGATATTTAGTATTGGCAGTGGATAGCCTGGCTTTCTTCGCTGTTTTCGGCCCCGAAGTATAGACGCTGCACTACCGCGCATTCATGATCTCTGCGTGAAAACCCTGATAGTCCTCAAGACTGTTTCCTTTTCATAATAGGACGTGTTTCTCGTATCATCGCAATCGTGCACCTCCGCATCACTACCAACAATGCCCTTTGCCCACGCTTCCACCGTTGCCTTTTCCTCGGCAAGTTGGTCCGAACTGTCCAATTCGCAGTGCTCGCACACGTTACTCTGAAGTTCAACAGTCAGGCCTCTGCAACACCCACGAAGTCCTTCTATCTTGCCATCTAGGCTCTTTCTTCGCTTTTCCCTTCTCTTCTTGTTGTGTGGGTCCGCTTCCGTACGCACATAACTGCACACCTGGCAGAAGAATGCCACTTCGCAGGTGAATTTGACGTCTTTGAGTTCTGGTCGGAGTCGCTGCAGGTATCGCACAAACATGGTGTCGACCTCGTCCGGCGCAAACCACAGATCTTTCGCGGCGCCTGTAGCCCCTTGCCAATTCAATATGACCTTCCATGTCATTTCGACGTTCTTGATGCTGTTGTTGAAGAGAAGTGTGTTCTTATACTCGCTGCGGTCTACCGGGTTTGGCGGTGCACGATAACATGATTTCGCACTGAAAACTCTGCGGCGAACTTTTGGTGTTAGGCTTACTCTTCGTTTTGTTCTTCCATATTGTGTGGTTGGGACATATGTCTGCGTCCTGTAGAAGAGTTCAAGCGCTTCCCCAAGAATCGTTTTGCACGAAAGTAGCCATTCGGGAAGGCCCATATAGTGGTCATCGAGACAGCTCGAGGGGTACTTTCGGTTTTTGGCATCGATGGCGAGGTTACGGTAATGAAAGGTAGTTTCATCGGAGCCGAATGCGTGCTCCCAGATCATGTCGCGCAATTCGCGGGGCAGGCGAGTGAAGATTGGTGACTGCTCATTCTGAGTGGTGATGAGTCTTGATCGTTCAAGATCCTCTTTTGTGCTGCGTTGGCGGCGCTTACGGGGGACGTAGGGTCCGTCGTCGGGTGAGTAGCGTTTTGCGTTGCGGAGATGCATGTTGGGAGGTGTTACTATCTGGCGAGAGCCTGACAGGAAGGGGCGAGATGAAAGTACGCCGCTACGAAGGCGATGCTGTAGAGATAAGAAAACATGGCCTCACGAGTGGGATCGAAGTTTAAGTAGCTGTCGTATTGACATAGAGCTAACTGGATGTGGCTAGCGTCGTGTCTCTGACGAAGACCGAGGCCTCGATACCTACCTAGGTAGGTATGGACGACTATATTGGCTGGAACTGCAGCGAACAGCCCTCGACTATTGAAACCGTTCTGATGACTGCCTTGAACGGTGGGGCCATGAGATACCAGGAATGATTATGTGTTCTTCTCGAATGCGTTTGCTCACACCTTCCGCTCGACGGTGAGACGTCCTACCCACGCCTTTTGCTTGTACCACCCTGACATAAACCTCCAGAACACCCGAACCATATCAGTTGGATTCTCCCACACCACAGCTCCACCAGTACCGACTAGTCTCAGTGCAAACTTCTCCGCCTCATCCATAATCCACAATGGTGTAGTATCCTTCTTGAGACCTCTGATCATAACATTGACCTTGACTTTGCGAAACATCCCTTGCCAATCTTTTCCCCATTCTTCAGTCAGATCCGTGGGATCGTTATCCTTTGGGTCTCCCCGCTCGTGAGCATATTGCCAAACTATCCCCAGATACGCATCCTTCAGGGAGAGGCTGTCCATTAACTTGAGGAAAGGTACAGACTGGTCGCCAACGACACCAGTGCTTCTAGCGGTACGGTCAAAGGAAGGCCATAACTTGATGTTTCCTACGCCACCTTCACTGAAAACTAGCGTGTTCGGGACTCCTTCGTCCATTTGAATTTCTGCAATTCTTGGGCGCCCATAAGGTTGGAACGTGTAGTTACGTGCGATCAAGTCCAGGACTTCGTAACAAATCTGTTGACTTGACAGTGACCATAGCGGGAGGCCACGTTTAGTTAGTCCCGGGTGTCTGATGTAGCCTTCGGAGTTTGGTGTCGCAGCAATGATGAGCTTATTCACGCGGAATGTAAGGTCCAGCCCCTTGAGCGATTCCATGTAGACTTGGTTTCTGATCTCTCGCGGAAGGTTTAGAAATGCGCATCCGTCCTGAGTGGGAATAGTCGAGATCGTAGGCCGAGCCTTTGGTGTCTGGACCTTCAAGCGCTTCGAGGAGCGAATACCTTTTGCCGGCGACGAGGCGCGTTTCTTGGTAGGAGCCATGTCGTCGTCTCGGTGGTATTTGAGCTATGAGCTTGACTGATGAGGACTGGTTGTAGCAGCCAGGGTGGTGGGCGGAAGGTGATTGCTTGAGTGTCGTCTGTGAATTGCTTGACTCGGGAAGAAGAGACAGTCCTAAAGGAACACTGGTAATTATATGCGAGAGGGTTTGTGATTCGGCGCTAGATATTCTCGTGATCGCGGGCACGGACCTCTTCTGGTAGTGAAGGAAGGCGCGACGAATGCTGCCTGGGCTACCCTCTTCGTGACCCGATTAAAAAGTCGAGAACAGTGCACATTACATCAATGCCTCTAACTTCCTCAGGTCAACTCATTGCTAACCTGGAAGCCGCGATGGACTCAACATGCACAAACCGCTCCAGCATCGAAGACACCTCAAACCTCGACCACCTCGAAACATCCAAGTCCACCGCGTCGGCTACATCAGCCCCTATCTCGTCACATAGCCTCCTTCTCGACCTCCCAGCCGAGCTTCGAGAAAAGATATACGCCTACGTCTTCGGCCCTTCCCCCCGCGCAATCACCGCCAGTAAAGAGACGAGCGTCCAGGCTTCAGTGCGCGACTTCTCGGCTCCTTCCCGCTATTATCCCGGATATGCAATCATCGGTCTACCCAAATGGTTGCTAGCCAACAAACAGATCCACGCCGAAGCGATTGATGTGTTTCGTCGATGGCGTACGTTCGTGTTCGATGACCCGATACCTTCGATGGAAGATATAACTTTGTCGGACGAACCGCGGGCACGACCTGCTTTCAACAGTCTGACTTATGGTGGCAGCGGCAAGATTGCCAGCGTTGTGTTGCAACCTGGCCGTACTGTGCAATTTAAACTGCACTGGCCTGTTCGTCCCAAGTACACGCGACGCGAAATTGCACGGTTTCTCGAGAAAGCGAAAGAGGATGACACCGAGCTTCTCGATTGTATCTATCAAGGACTTGGAGAGAACGGGTGTTTGGACCTATACTGGGATCGTATGTGGTGTAGAACTTCGTTGATCGGTGGGGAGTGGCTGGAGGGCGAAAAAGAGATGATGGATTGTTTTGATGAGAGGTGGAGTGGGCGGTTCCGTAAGGTTTGCGTCCATGTTATGTATGGAGGAGCGGAGTGGCTCTTTGCACGAAAGATGATGAAGACTGCTAGAAAATGCTCACGGCGACTCGTGGGTATTACTGCAGGAGAGGACGTAGGCGTGCGTTGGACTAGGAAGGAGGTGAGACCGGCGGTTAGTCCTATCCACCTCAGCGATTGGGAGTCGACTTTGGTAATCGAGCGGAAGATTTGAGATCTCGGCTTGACCGCGTAGGATGTGTAGTCGGGGGCATTGGTGGCCGGCACGAGAAGCTTCTCCCGAAGTACGATATTTCGTGAACAATCTTCCTCATCCAGCTGACCTTTCAACCGTAACATACCTCTTGATGCGATCATAACCAAACGGTCTATCGCGACGATTCCTCACCTCTTCCGTCCATCTCACGCTCGACCCATCCTCCACCGTCTCTCCGTCTCCATCACACCCCCCGCCTCCCCTAGCAACGAGTCTCTTCGCCGCCCGTTCCCCCAATCCCGCCACTATCTCTTTCGCCATGAACTCATCCACCCTACTATCCACTCTAATCCGCACACGTTCCAACCTGCCCATCCAGCGCTCCAACGCCTCATTCCTAAGAACCACTTCATCACCCGGCAACACGCCAAAAACGTTGTAAGTCCAGTACATGCGCAGCTCTTTAACAGCCGCACCAGCCTGGTGCAGGACGTTCAACATCTCCTCATCAAAAGGCCCAAGTTTAACCACCACCGTCCTCTGCCGTTGCCCCTTGCGCGCTCCCGACATAGCCATCTGTCTGCCCAGTGTAGGGTCTACATGCCACCGCGCAAGCCCTGATTCAGTCGCGACTTCGGTATCAGAATCTTGTGCTAGCTCGTCCGGGCGCGCTGCTGTGATATAGCTTAACGCCCTCATGTTGAACACTACTGTCTTGACAGCCGCAAAGACGAGCCTGTTCAACACGTCATCCGCGGCTAGATCCCTGAGATCTGTTCTCCGGACGAGGCCGAGGCCGGGGTGGTATGAGGTGAATGCGTACTCTCTTGACAGTACGTTCATGCCTTCTTTCAAAATTTGTGTGCACGTCATCAACCAGATCGGCAGACCCTTTTTTCGGGGTTGTGATATCGCGTTGTTTTTGTGCACGATTGTCTTGGGGATCGCGAAGAAGGATGTGATGCGAAGGCTGTTTTTGAGTGAGGCTTCGATTGTGAGCGAGTTATATGAGAAGGTGTAGATGAAGTTGCGTAGTTCGGCGGGCAGGTTGAAGAAGAGACATGGTGTTGGTGAGGTGCTTGAAGAGGTGTGGGCAGTATGTAGTGCCGTGTTTGTAGTTTTGTTTAGCATGCTCAGGAATTGTCCTCAATGCGGGCCAGGATAGGCGCGATCTGGTAGTAGTTTGGCTGCTGAAGGACGCGGCTGCTGTGGGACAGCGGCTTGTGATTAATCTTGGAAGCAAGGAGGTTTAAGTAGAAACAGTACGTCGGGGCTTTGGAGAAGAAGCTTGTGAGATGCTGAGAAGCTTTCGTTGTGGGTGCGCTTACTGAGATATCTTGATGAGGCAGGCATCAGCGAGTCACGTGCTCCAATATCCACTAGCGTATCCTTCTTTCAGACACGCGCAAGTCATCACCATGCAATTAAACAGCCAAAACAGAGTTTTCCAGTAATCATATTGCTACGATAATCTTCTGCTCAAACAAGCATACACGCTCGCGGCCGTGAAAGATCCGAGTCTGGCAACTTTGCAAGAAGCACCCGGAACATGCTCCGGTCTCTGCAAAACCCGCCCATCCCCTATCAAACATACTACACAAAGAAGTGAAGAACGTGCCTGTGCTCCCCGACTTCATATGCAAAGGAAACAATTGTTTGCCGACAGGCGTTTGTGGGCGCCGATACAAAAAAGGCTCGGCCGGCCATGTGATGGAAAAGCTCGCTTCATCCGGGAACGCCGCATCCGACTCCGTAAATGACGATGAGAACCGGGTTCAGGCCGTTCGAAAAAGGGTGGGTGCGTATGTATACATTTTGGGCACCGGTCATCAAGGTTGCGCCAAGTGAGTGCAGCAAAAGGAAGGCAAAGGGGGAGCGCGCAGAAGTGCTAGCGACAAACGGGTGCATGCCGTCTATGCCTTGACTGCGCCGCCCTCCTCGACGTTCTCGTTGTTCTCAAAGTCTGACGCGGAGGTCTCGCGGTTCAGGCTTGTCTCGCGGTGCAGGAAGGTGTGTTCCTTGACGGGGCTGCCTGCCAACTCGCCTTGACCGTTGGCGGTGACGCTGTCTCTGTGGCCGTTGCCATTGCCGTTGCCGTTCTGGCCGGTGGGCGTGGGCGGGGCGATGTGTGGGATCTTTTCGGGGTTGGGGTGCTCGCGGCCGACTTGGGTGACGCCGACGTCACCAGCTTTGCCGGCCTTGGAGAGGGCGTAGTCGCCGCTGTCGAAGTACTTGCGCTCCTGCGGCCATGATTAGCAGGTATGCGGATGCGAATGTTTCGCTGGCCCTCGTACCTTCAGCTTGTTCTGGAGCAAGTCCTTCTTGTTGGGTAGCTTGCCGTAGAGACGGAAGAGCTTGGCCTCCTGCTCCGACATTTTCTAAATCGCTGTTAGCTGGACATATTCCCAGAGGACGCGCATGGCTTCTGTGCGGCTATGACGTACGCTGACATCGACCTTGTTCTGCTGGTGCGGGTTCATGGTTGCGGTGGTGGTG